ACCGTTCATACCAATTTCATCCATCCAAAGATGCTGCGATTTTGCCGAAATAGGTATAAATCTTTGCTAGTTTAATTTCTTTTAACACAACCCTACAATCACAAAATTAATTTTCATATTGTAAAGGCATAAAACTCACCATTTACTAATAGGAGCATTTGTGCAATCCAGACACTGATAAAAATCTAATGTCGACAAACAAACAACAACGAGAATAAATTGAGCAATACAGTTGGCAATTAAAGCTATGAAAATATGTATTTGGTTGCAGAACAACCAAATGTATAAGTATAGGTGATCAGACAATATATTATTTTCTAATAACATATAATCTAGATATTTCTTCGAAACATTGCTGTGCCTTCACGATAATATATACCCCTAGCTTGACATATGTGCAGATGTTTCAAAGGCACGTGTTCCTGAGTCAAATGCTCTTTTATAATTTCCTATACTACAACCGTCTACAGCACTGACATCAGTAATAATCAGCCCGATCAGTATGACCAGTCTATACTATCGTGGCCCAAGGACATGGTTTGAGGAAGCCGTAGAACAAGTTCAGGTAGAACGAATTTTCTGCGGGCATTTCAACGGAGGGGGTGGTGGTGGATGACACATAGCTTCAAATGCTGGATATGCTATCGTTCCTAACCATCATCAAGTCGATACAAAATGAGATATGAAAAGGTCTTTTAAAAAGAGAACATATTTACCGAAATGGCCATGTTGACCTTTGAAAAAAGCATTGGGAACGTAAATTTGATTCTCTTTGAGACAGTGAGCCAGTAAAGTTCTTTGCAGATTTGGGTACAATTTTCAAATTCCCTTACTTCTGTCAGAACTCGGACGGCGTTGGTGTTTAGGAGTCTATAGTAGTCTGGAGACTGAAGAATTTTGTAAGTAAGCGAGCACCGCATTGCAGCAGAGTTGTGCAGTATAAACAATTCCATTTAGACATTGAGACACGGCTCTCGAATAATTTATGAGGCAATAGGATAAAGTTAATTGACAAACTGCACTTTTATCCTGTTTAATCTCAAAACTTATCTCGATGATAAAACACGCCCAATAGCCTTTATATTTTCATAAATGTCTTGGAATAGTGGGTAATAAAATCTGCCTTTGTCATGAATTAAAACGCGAATCAGGTAAACCACACGCGTTCTGCAGTAGAAATCATTTCATTAAAACCTGGTCTTCAAAATATTTATGAGGCAATAAGAAAGGTAACACGCACGAACACACCGTCACGCGCGCGCACACAAACACACTCAAATAGTACATCCACCCGCGCTAACAAATCTATAACAAAAATCGTGACATGTTGGTAAAGGCTTGCGTCTCTCATACCTGAGATCATAGATTCGATACTTGCTCGACACTTTAACCTTTAATAGAAGAAATGCCACATTATGTTGTTTTTTTCTCTCTCGACCAAAATATATCACTTTGTTATACTGGGGTATAAAGAATTGTAAAGCCTGCAGATACAGGACTACAAATACTGATGTATTCATTAAACAGCTGCTATTGCAGAGAGCGCATATTTCTGACAGTTTTTTTCTTCAAGTTGGAGTTTGTTTTGTGTTTTTGTCTCGTTTTCCTTTTGTTTGTTCATTTGGTCGCGATCTGTTTTTGATTAACAATTTTTATTTCGATGTCTTAATTTCTTGGATCTTCACCCTGTTCCATTAAAGCATTAAGAAAATGTTGCTCGATCAAAAGAAATTGAGAGGAATCAAAAGCATGTGGAAAAAATATGGGCATATGCTCTTTTCTTTTTAACTGAATCAAACTGAAATAGAACGTAAACTTGTGAACCCACATGCCCCCCCCCCCTCAAAAAAATGGTCGACCTGCATTTTATTATAGTTTAGATAAACATAATATTTATTAATGAATTACCGTACCATGGTCACCCGCCACTTAATATAAAACAACACATCAAGCCTGATACTCACTGTATACATGTAGTCAGCAAATACTGCATGACGAATAAAATTTGAAGAATGTTCTTATTACTGTATATGTTAGCACTCTGCAAAATCAATCACATGTTCAGTAGACTTACCATTCAACAGGAACTTGCCTGCATAACGATCGATTAGAGTTGATTACAATGTCAAGTTCATTTCAAGAAATAACATTAATTATTCAATTCAATTCAATTCAATTTATTTTGCAAAGCAATACAAAACATACAGGGTATAACAAAAGCAGTATACAAAGTTTCACACAATTACAAATACTAATATAGATAAACATAGAAATACACAGAATCAAACTATAATAAAATGTAGGTAGACCATTTTTTGTAGAGGGGGGGGGATATGTGAGCAGGGGCGTCCCCAAAGGGTGGAGTGTGGGGGTGCGACACCTCCCCCCCCCCCCCCCCACCTGTCAGGATATTGTCGGTAAAATTGCGCAGCCGTCGGGAAAACAGAGAAAAGGGGAGGGGGAAAAGAGAGGGAAAGGGAAAGAAAAGGAAAAAAAGAAAATGAAAAGAGAGGGGAAAAAAGGAAAGAAAAGAGGAGAAAGAAAGAGAATCAAGAAAAAGAGGGAGGAGAGGAATAGGTTTACACTGTTGTCCCATTGTGACTGGAATTTCTTTCATTCTAAACCCTCATGTCCCTGTCAAGTTGTTTAGGCAGAGAATGTTATAGACATATGCTAGCTGAATGGATGTGTTTGGCGGCGAATTAGGCAGTAACTATAGGCCTAGGTCAACTAACTGGGTTCTCTAGTACAGCAGGTGTTTATCTTTGTCTGTGTGTGTGGAAAAGAGGATGAAAATGTTGATAGGACATTTTTTATGGGACAGTTTTGGCATTAGAAGAATATGATGAATTTTAAGGAGGTTACTATTGAGAGAGCCAAAGTGGGTTGGAGATTTAGGGCAGTTTAGTCAGACTGCTTTGGAGATCTCGAGAGGATTAGACTTATCTGAACTTGTTCTGATCAGAAAGGTGAAAGAAAAGGAGACGAAACTTTTGTAATTTATTCAAACCCATTCGTGAGTTCTAAAGCGTAACAATGGGATGTGTAACATTCCACTTGGCTTTGAAGTTCCATGCTCCGAACCGCGCTTCCACTGCGGGGACTTTCGGAAGCCAGGCACCAGTTTTACATTTATTACAAAATATTAAATTACCGGCAAAATTTCAGTGTAAATCAAAAACTTTATATGGGGATTGTATGAGGAATAGTGCATCAAACAAATGTTCAAATATAGAACTCCGTCTTTCCTATAACTTGTGTGCCAGAGTTGGTAAAAGAAAAATTACATCCTGACAAAGACTCAATATTTTAGGAGGATGCGCAAATTTGTGCACGCTGTAATGTCCCGTTATTTGATCCATGATTTACAATCTTCAGTAACATTAAGTTTGCTAATGCGTGTTTTCGCGTGTTTTTTGTATTTTTCAAGTATTTATTTGTGACACTGACATGCAGGTCACTTATTGGGGTGGGGTCCAGGGGGCGGAGCCCCCAGGAGCTCAGGGGTTTTAGGCATTAAATTACGATCAGATGAGCTTCAAGGGGCCGCCTTAGGGCCCTTGGTGGGGTCCAGGGAGTAGAGCCCCTGGAAGCTCAGGCGTTTTTAGGCATTTAATTTCGGTCAGATGAGCAACTAGGGGCTGACTTAGGGCCCTTGGTGGGGTTCAGGGGGCAGGGCACCCGGAAGGTCAGGGAAAAATCATGCCATTTCTAAAACATTTGTAAATCACTGGTATCGAATTAGAAATAAACCACATTTGAATTTCATTTGGGGGGAACTACCACCAAAGCCCCCCCCCCGCCCCCTTCAGTACGCAAATTCGAAGGAGCATAGTGAATGAAAGGGGTGAAGGTGACGGAAGTGATTACCCCCTCACAGGTTTTTAAAGTTGTGTTGTATTAACAAATTACATTCCTTAGCAAAACTATAGTATAAACGTTAGCAATATACTTTTTTCACCCTTCAATTTTCTCTTCACTTCACTTTTTCAAATTTTTAGGGGGACGTGTCCCCCCCCCCCCCCCCCCCCGTCCCCCCGGGATCGCCGCCCCTGCAGGCAGCACAGGTCGTACGTGGTAGAAGCCTCATCAGCCCTCGCCTCATCTTGACTCTAAACATTGAGCTTAAAACGTTTTTCTGGATGGTTTGCATCTAAGAAATTGAAAATGAATCTTGCCAAAACATGTCGTATGCTTTTCAAACCAAAGAATTAAAAAATATAAATAACTGAAACACATGTATTCATTGACAATGGCTAAATTCCTTTGGAACATTCTACTAATTTCTTAGAGGTTGTTTTTGGATGATAAATTAAGTTGGAAAAAAAATCATATTTCTGAGACAGCATGCAAAATATTAAATCTATTATTAAAATATTATAAATATATTATAATCTTTATTCATTTATGCACAAACAGTGCACTCCATGATACAAAGGCGGAAGTATTCTTTGAAAAGGGGAAGCAACGGCTATGTGTGTAGCACCAGTGATTATTGTACAAAGTGGGACCTCTTCATGTTTTGAAGATCTGTGTATATTCGGGGTCATTTGGGACATGTGCTAACCGTGCACTGGTCTATTGCAGTAAGAGTGGGGCGAGACCTTTATACTCAACGCAGGCTTTTGTCATCCGCCTTGGCTTGATTCGAACCTATAAGATCTTTTGTTCTACAGGCGGGCCCTGTATCCATAGTTATCAGCATCATCTTTATCATCTTCTTCTTCATCGCTATTATCATCAGCATCATAATCATCACAGTCGAGGTCGTCATTGTCGCCATTATTATCGCTATCATCATCATCATCATCATCACCATCAACATTATCATCATCACCACCATCATCATCATTATCACCATCAACATTATCATTATCATCACCATCAGCATCATCATCATCATCATCACCATCAACATTATCATTATCATCACCATCGTCATCATCTTTATCACCATCAACAATATCATCATCATCATCATAATTATCAACATTGTCAAGCATAATCAAAATATTCATATATTTTTCATTGTAACACTTCCCAACATATCTGGTTTATCATCGCCACACTGATTAGACTAGACTCATCGTTATTATTGTCGCCATGAAAACGTCAACCTAAATATTAAAAAATGAGGGGAGATTGTTTGAATTTATGTTTGAGAAAATATTTATTTGCTTTTGACAGATGGGCGAATAATATTCATATTTGGAATGATAATGACTCAGTATTAATTGATGACGATGATGGCTAGAAGGAAAATTTTGAAAGAGCATATTAGTTTCCTCTACAATAGGACAATTTTTACATCAAGTTTGTTGATTGAATAAACTTCATTTACATGTAACAGAATCCCTTGCATAAAAACAGAACTAGGTGCAGTACGAAAGATACATGTATTTTCATTTCTTATAAGAATTATCAGAAAGTTGTCACCTATTATGAGAGATGATTACTAATAAGAGATATTTCTAAAATGGCATCTACAAATCATTACAGTGCAAATATTTTGTTAAAGATAGAATGACGACAATATAATATGATGAATTTAAAGTTTAATCATAATGATTATAAAGAAATAATATGATGATTTCCTGGACGGAAAATGCACGGCGTATTGAGAACATAGAAAAATAACTAAACCATTCTTGAGTAGGCGATACCATCAGCTTTCTCCTGTTTTGCAATGATGTATACGGGGTTGCGAATGATGACGAGGATGGTTTTAATGACGAAGAAGACGAAGACGATAGCGAAGAGTGTTGATCCGATGACCGCCTGTGGACTGGTAGGATCTCTCACGTTAGCAACAAGTATTCCACCCAATGACCACAGCGCTGCAGGGTACACGATGAGAATATATCGAAAGTAGCGATCGTAGACGAAACAGTCGAGGAGGAAGTAGGTGACGAGCTGGGTGGCGAGGACCGCAAAACATATATATGTCGTTGTTTCCCTATAAAACAGAAAAATACAGATTTGGATCCGTTAATAATACAGTTCATATAAACTATCAATAACTGGAGCAATATCTTAGATGTACCGACGTCGCTATGAATATTCCGTTATTTCGTCTTTCTGTTATTTATTGGTTAATGTTTACATGATTATACGGTTCATGATTCATCATTTTCATCTATTAAATAAATAGGTAACAACCAAGAGATGTATATTTGTAGGATTAATTTTTGTAATCTCAAATTTCATAGATTTTGAAGAAAGTGATTGTTTATATATCATAAATACTTCAAAGATAATTCCATTCGGTGATATTTGTTTTCTCTCTTCTTAAGAAGGGGAATGAAGATTCGGGCGTGACGGAGCCGATATTATTTGACTGGGGAGCTATAATGTCCAAAATACCTCACTAGCAAACGAATATGCCCCTGTATAAGTGCGCAATAAAGAACGGCGCATTGTTGTAGGGGGAAGGGGGGCAGAGGTCGTGTGCCTACAAGTGACTGGATACACCACTGCAAATATACTTACTTATCCACTCCGAACGTGTATATGAGCACGATAGACAAGTTTACTTTGGTTGCGACCGTAGTCCATGTAGCGTAGAGGGCGAGTCCATTTTGCACCAGAACGCGATTTGCCCACAGGTCGAACCTAAAATATAAACCATTTGTTATCTTGTAAATAAAAGACAAGTTACAACTTACAACTTGATCAATTTTTTAAAATATTTTCATCTCACATATTCAACGAATTTCTCACAATATCCAAATAAAAATAAGTTTATGGCGATGGTAAAGATGAAATGGTGATGATGATGATGATGATGGTGATGATGATGATGATGATGATAATGACAATGACATTTATGATGTCTTTTATAGGAATAAAATAACGATTTAGATTTTCATGACCGTTGTATATTGACAATCTTAATATTACATATGCCTATTAATAGTTCGAAGGTATAGGCTTAAGTTTATAGCCAGACTTTAAAACATTCCAAGTGCTACTTAATAAACTATAACATCGAAAAACATCTTTTTATACCATTTCTATGAAATGAATAAAATGAAATATAAAAATCCTGAAAATATGCTTACACTCCGTACTCCTTGAAGACGAAGAGATATTCATACACCCTGCTAGTTGCTATGGAGACAGCTATATATAGCGTTACGGTGATGCCAACTAGCGCGACTTGGCTCAGGATGAAAGTAGTCCTGTCGAAGGCGAATAACCATGTGACATTAAATGTAAGATTAAGAAAGACTGCTATAAGGAATGCTGGACTGGTAGTAGGAGGGTTAAGATAGACCGGACCCTTATCGTTGGTTCTGAAGAGGGTGGTGATGACGTAGACTAGCCATGCTGCAAACCAGGAGTAGATGAGACCCCAGATAGCGAAGGTGTACCCTGCAGGTGTTACGGGTGTGGGGTAGAGGTTGGAGAGGTTGCCGATGGAGCTACGAAAAAGTCCTATGGGTAGTAAATAATAACATTTTATTTCATTTATTTATGCATGCATGTTCACAATTTCACAATTCATTCAAGGTAACATCACATGAAAAATAATATAATATAACCAATCACTTTTAGAGTGGTGAAGTGTGACGTCATCAAAAATCTATTTTTAGAATTTCTCAATTTTTTTCTTCATTTTCCGAAAGAGCATCAAACATAATGTCCAAACATCGAAAACCAATTGAATTTGTTAAGTATTGGCTGAGATATGACCATCTGAATATATAGGAATTCAGAGTTTTTGCTCTGGCTTCTAACCATTACTAACCAATAAAAGAATATAACAATGTTTTATTAAAGACAAGTTGCAACTAATATACAGTATAATGCAAGAAAACACAAAGGTGATGAAACATAAGCAAATAGATATTGAATCGTTACAACACCTTTCAAATATATAATATATGACAAATAAAAGTCCTAATTGTATTGACAATATGTCGTCTCTCAAAGAAGTATATTCGTACAATGCAATACCAGCATCATGGGTAACGTGACAATATGCACTAAAGTGTTTTATAGTTTAAATAAAGGAAAACTATAACAATTAATGATGTGTAGAAATACATTGTAATCCTACATCTGATCAAAACAATTAAGGCACTACGCTGTATAACTGCAAAATTCCCCTTATCCTCTAAATTTATCTTACAAGCAATTGTGCTTTTTAGTCATTTAGTCTGACTCGGTATTAATCTGATGTTAAATCAGTTTTAAAAGTAGTATATCCAATGGAGTAAATACTGGCGTTACAGTAATATTCAAGAAAATACATAATTACAAGACATAAATACATCAAGTTTAGAGAAATAGATGGAATAAGGGACAAATACATGCAAAAGATAATGAAGCGACAAAAATGGTCATTGGTACTTCAAATCATGAGTTTCAAAATTAAGCCTTGGTCATTGGTATTTCAAATCATAATAGTTTCAGTATTAATTCATTTCCAACGCAGAAGTTTAACGTTTAACCTGTGAGTTGAATTTATGAACATATTCCTATATGGTTCACAGGGCAGCTATCGGCACCCCGTGATACATTTAGCTTCCTTTTTTGACTAACTGCTGGATACGACACTAAAAACAACATATTAAATAAATGTAAAAACAAATCGGAACACTGCCATTGGGAGGCATATCTTTAGAAAGGGGTAAAAATGATTACAGCAACAGCCTTGTGAGGGTTAAATAAAAGGTTGAGTTCTGGGCAGAGGTGAAAAATACTTAGTGAGCGTTTTCATTGTTATTATGCAAATGTGAAGAACATCAGAGAAAAAAAGGTTCCCTGAAAAGCATGGCTCTTCAAATGCCTTCATATTCTAAATATGACATGTAAACAGCTTAACTATGTGGGTCTCATTTTCATGCTACATGTTTGTGTAGTCCCGTAGGATATTTTTCTGTGTACAGTGTGTGTTGCTTTTGCGAAGACTGGGCCAAAATTGTTATCCTTTTGATGATTCCAGAAACTTTCAGTACATCCCAATACATATGCTACATGATCAACCTTTTCTGGTCGATTCCACATCGTTTCTTTCATAATGCAATCGCATGACCAGAACTATAGTTGGGATACAAAATAAAGACGATTGGTTGCATATATCTGACAAGAAATCTTTACATTCTGGTTCAATACCACGGCGCTCTCCTTCGTCAGAATAACACGAAATTGCCAGAAATGTTACGAGGATGGTAATATCACTGTAAAGCATCTTACCTAGTGACAAGTCAGAATTTGGACCAACACCAGCTTGAAAGTTGAAGAAGAGAGTGAGGATGTATCCAGTGGTTACCAGGAGGGTGAGTGGGGGTACAACATCCATCTTGATTGGTTAATTACTGGAGGAAGAGGAGAAGGAGGAAGCAACATCGATCGGTCATCGGTTATTACAATGGATAAAGAAGGTCGTACTACGGAAGCCACTATGTCAGTTTGTGTTTTAACAAAAATGAAATGAATCAGTAAATTTAGTAATCAGCAATGACAACTGATTTCGCAATAACAGAAAACCAAATGATATGTTAATGATGAAAGCAATTGTAAAAAGAGTGAAGATGGCAAGGAAATTTATATGTGGGAATAAACAGACATATAATACAGTAATGAATCTTAGATATACTAAAAATGATAGATATCACTGTTTGAAGAATAAAATACCAGGTTGTCAATATCATGATTAATACTCACGCCAAGACTTGCCTCAGAACTATCAGGAAACGATATAAAATCTGCACACTTTGCAGCCAGCAGGGCGAAGATGGTCGAAGTAATATAATTCAAATGAAGGCTGCTTCTACTGTACAAGGTAGTACCATTTAAGTTTGAAGATTAGCTCTGACTTAATTCCTTTATCTTATTAAGCTGGATGTTTAATTGTCGATAAGATTCTGAGCCAAATATACTACAAAAAGCAGATTAAAGTTGATTTACTTTAAACTGTATCAGTAATGCGATGTAGGGAGGGGTAAACAACTAAAAACAATCAGCATATGAATAAAACGTGTCTTTTCGGGCCTTGGCTATATAGTTTCAAATCAAACAGATTTTATAACAAAGTTAATATACGAGCCTCTAAGAGCGATAACATCGTTCTTGATTTTGACATAGTTTAAAAGACAAATTTGTACAAGGTATTATTTTCCACGGTAATTAAAAAAAGAGGATTGGTAACGACGATATAGTTATCAAATTGTTGATATTTTTTGCAATCTGATTTAAACTAATGCTTTTAAAAGCCAAGTGCATGTATGACAGTGTTCACGATTTGCGCGCAAGCCCTCGTGTGTGTGTGTGGGGGGGGGGAGGGGGTGGTGGGATAGTAATATGAATGTATACATGTATACTATTTTCTGTAGTAGTGGAAACAAGTGAAGTTTTCATGAACTTTTAGCACTGGGCTATTGTGGTTAGTGTAGCCTCGTTTAAATGATTTTTTTTTAATGTTTAAATTGATTGTTCCTGTTTGTCTGTCGGTCCAATTTAGGGTATTCTGAGGAGGCTAGGAACAGTGTGTGGTGGAAGTGTGGTCGGGTGGTGTTTGTGTCGCACGATGGGGAGTAGTAATGTGTTTGGTTGGATGGGATTATTTGTTTTATGTTACAACTGATTTCATTTTTGTTTTCATCAATTGTGCAATCTATGTAATGAGGACACTTTTTTTTTTTTTTGGTCTCGAAATTTGAAAATTTGACATTTTGCTCCGTTGGGGGGGGGGGGGGGGGGGGGGTAAGGTCACCTTTTTTTAATAATTAAAAATAAAAAATAAAAAAATAAAAAAAACCAAAGGGGGGGGGGGGGTTTAGGTATTTTTTAGGGGGTTTACACACATAAAAATACCAAAGGGGGGGTTTAACCCCCCAAACACCCCCCCCCCCCCCCTGCGTACGCGCCTGGCTGCAGCAGACAATAATTATCTACCAAACACGAAAGAGACCTTTTAGCCATGTGCTGATGCAATGAGGAGATTGGCTAGCTAGGTTCGAGGTCCAAATTCATGTCTCCCAATAGGCTATGAAACTGATTTACAACATTCCTTCATCCGGGCGATTGTTGGCACGGTTTTTTTTAATTTAGTATGTGATTCAGATCAGTGGGATAATATGAGATCAAAGTCCATGCTGTAGACCAAGTGCTTGGTCGAAAGAGAAAATGGGAGTACACAAAACATGACAAGGAGACAGAGGGGAGAAATGGTGCACAGAGAGAGGGGGTGGGGTAGGGAGAGAGAGAGAGAGAGAGAGAGAGAGAGAGAGAGAGGGGGGTGAATGGAGAATGAAAGGGGGAAGGGAAAGAGAGATGAGAGTTGGGATTTGTAGAGAAAGAAAAGGGGAGGGAGAGAAAAACAGAGAAAGAGAGAGATAGAGGAAGAAAAGAAAGAGGGTGGGTTAGGGAGAGAAACAAAGAGAGAGAGAAGAATAGAGAAAAGAGAGATGGTGAGGGATAGAAAGAGAGAGATTGAGAGAGAGAGAGATAGAGAAAGAGGAAACATTAAGAGAGAGAGAGGGGGTGGCGAAACGCAGAGAAAATACAGCATGAGACGAAATGAAAAAAGGGCAGGGCCAGGAGTGGCGGCGGCAGAATTTTCGGCTTATGAAACATTTTATCTTTCTATTTAGTTTTCGTAAGGTGAGTGTATGTATTGTCTGGCCACGTTTGTCAAGGGTCACGTGTTTGTAATGGGTATTAGCAAACAATGAATGCAGTATAACGTGTAAAGACCAAGTCAAAGATTAACAGCATTAATTATAAGCTGATTGTTTGGAGTCAACTGCTAAAGGTAAGAAGACCTATCTTGTTTTTGTATCTTTACAAGTAAGTTAGTGGTACATGTACATGCATATGGAAAATAGATGATTTTTTCTTCATCTTTTTCTATACACAGTTAGTGAGTTAAAATGAGAAATGGAGGAATAATTTGTGTCTATGTTATTCATTCCTAGTGAATCAGTAGTATTAGCTATCATGCATAATTGGTAATTATTGTTTCTTTAACATGGCTTAGTATAACACGTCAATGCATCCGAATTAAAATGTTATATCCGTGGTCCTAAGAGTTAGGTCTATAATAGTTATTTCGCACCAAACCAACTTTAACATTTTCTATATGACTATAATGCATTGTATATACTTCGTCACTCTATTTTATAGGGTGATATAACCCATTTATTGTGAAATCCCTTTTAGTGTGATATCTATTTTTAGCCAGGGTAATACATGTTGTGGTATGATCATAGGGCCCTCAGGGAGAACAGTATTGACACTAATGAGGCTGCCATGGGTAATCAATACATATTATTATTATTATTATGATTATCATCATTACTATTAATATTATTATTATTTTATTTATTTTTTTAAACATTGAGAGCCGTAATTTGAAGAATAATGAAATTGAAGGATTATATTGCCCTTAAGATTGATTGAGCTAATAATAATTCTAAATCAAGGGCGTATCCAGAAATTGATAAAGAGGGGGCGGACTCCCCTCCGTAGAGGGGGGGGTGTACCTGGGCAGCCCTTCGTGACATAGACATAGCTTATTTCAAGTAGAAAGTAGCAAGCATCCTGAGATTTGCATCGATATGCTGTTCATTACTAACAGGCGCGGATCTACGGGGGGGTTTAGGGGGTTCAAACCCCCCCCCCCTTGGGCGGCCCAAAAAAACAACAAAAAAAAAGAAAAAAAGAAAGAAAGAAAAAAAAGAAAGAAAAAAGAACGCACGCTGGAGAGAAACCCTTTCAAGTGCAAATATTGTGAGAAGATATTCAACTCATCTGGTAACTTAACCAAACACATGATAAAAAGGCTGGATATAACTGTGTATTAAGCTGTTACTTGATTTAAAAAGACGTTATCATGCACTGCTTTTTATGGTCTCCATTGTGTTAATAGATGCCAGGAAAACATCACTTACGGGGTTCAAATAAACACCCCCAAAAAAATCGGCTCGCCGCTACGCGGCTCGTGGACGATGCTCTGCATCGTCATTATTTTGGTCAAACCCCCCCCCCCTTAGCAAAAAGCTAGATCCGCCCCTGACTAATCTTGATGAAGTAATCCCTCATCTGGGATAGGTTGTGTTGTGACTATCATTATGATAGTCTATTTGTTAATTTGTATGTTGTTATTTCATGAATTGTTATGTATAATCTGCATAAGAATTGATTAGAAATCAATTTATTTTTATAATCATGTCTATTGAATACTTTAGTACTTCGTCGTTGTCTTCTCCTTGAAGGTCTAGTAAGGCTGATATAGTTTACATAAAGTCTTTTGTTCGCAAATACATTCAATATACATTCATGCATTTAATAATATATTTCTTCATACCAATTGACATAGATGCAAGATGACAGTACATGCAACATGAAACCTCAAATTATAAAATGTGGTGGTGGTGTAATACAAAAAAAATCTCTTAATTGACCATTAATTAAAGGGATCCGGTAACTTTGTCTCAGATTCTGAAACAAAATCCTGGATTTAGCTCATGCTTCAATGATAATTATAAACCTTTAGATCAGTCAGGAACTCCATGATTTTTACAAGTCGATCGCCTGTCTGATTATCAAGATATTTACGATTGGAATTACAAATTTTGAAAACAACACTAAAGTCTATTGGGGAAAACCAGTATGGTAAAACCGGTCACTCAAAGATTTTTACTTTTTTGAGGCACAATTTTTGTAGGGCTTCAATATTACACCATATCACAGACACTGATAACACGTAGGGCCGTGTATCTCAGATTTAACATTGTTAACCGATGCCTTTAAAGTAGTATTTTACTGGAGCTTGTGTAATAAATTTTTCATTGTAGTATCGCTCTGCATTTACTTCTTCGTCAGACTTTGATTTGTCTTCTATTTCTAGCTGAATTCAAGATGGAGTCTGTTGTGATGGCTACGTTTTGCACCCTTGTCATCTATCTGTTCCTGCAGTTTGTTAACTTCCAGGCTGCTATTGGACCGGATAGTCCGATGTCACTAGGTAAGAAAGTTTAGAATAAATGTTTTCTGTTTTTAATTTTTCTCAATATACAACTTCTAGACCCTCCTCTCTTCTCTTCCTTTGCTTTTTGTTCTTTTTTCTTCTTTTTTCTCTTTTTCTTCTTCTTCTTTTGTTTGTTTGTTCGTTCTATGTTGGTGTGTGTTTTGTATACTGTTGTGCTTGTTATGTATTTAAGTGTTGTGTGGGGTGGGGGTAGTAGATGTTCTCTAGCTCGTTTTCTTTTTATTTGTATCATTTATGTTATGTTATCATAACCCTTCTTTTTTCTCTGAAGGAACTTTAAGAGGGAAAAAAAGATATTGTGGAAAAGAATCTTTATTTGCGATTTGTTTAAAATGTGAAAATATAATTTTGTTTATGTGAATATTTTTTTTAGCTTTAACCTTGTATTGAAATGTAAAAGTTTACTTGCAAATTAATTTAGACCTATGTGAAGATTAATTTGTTATTTTGTATACAATGTTATAAATTATGGACAAATTTTTTTTATGAGAGAAGAGAATAAAAACCTATGAAAACAAAAAAAAATTACTGGATAAAATGAATTTAAATTTTAAAACAAATCGATGTATCATTTAGCCCTCCATATGCTTATTTATTGGATACAAATACAGAATAACAAAGAAACAATCATACATTTGCATAATTATTTTTGACTCACTTGGTTACAAGGTGGTTCTCTTATTTTGTTTTATACAAATAGATATGGAATTCACTTCCACTTAATGACAATTTGTCTACACATACCAAGTGAATTATAAATATAACTTTCATCCTCATAATATTAAACAGTTTGTTTTCCATTACACCAAATACAGAAACCCTGTTGCTCAGCTAAAAGAAGTCCTTCAATCTGGGCTTTATTGAACAGGACCAGTTAATGTTACACTTGTCGAACCCCTGTCATAGTGAAGTCTGGGGGGGGGGGTCACAAAACTTGTCATCAGTGACAAATGACAGTTTTTGTTATAAGGTACTGAAATCCTTACTTCTGATTGGTTATCAGCAAATTTGTCACTGATTTTTGTCATTTGTCATTAAAAAGGGCTTTGTGAAACGGGTCCCAGATCGGCATATAATGGTTAATTAGGGATGAAGTGAAGTGCCGTATGATGCCGGGAATGGGAGGGGCTTTTGGTGGCCTGTTCCCAAAGATAAGCACACTTTTCTACAATCTGAGACATTATGTGAGGCCCCTTTTAGCAAACACGGATAACAGTCTCAGTAGGACTATGATGGGTCACACCTTTGATCCAGGGATGAAGGGGTGTGGGTGGGGGGATTGTCACCCTCGAAATTGAATCCAATATCTTTGTCTCGCTACCCGACAACATTCATATATAAGTGCGATAATTCTCAACTCTGAAAGCTCGTAATAAAATTGTAAAGTATAGCTACGTCTCACGTTCCTATACCAGCAGGACGTCTCAGCCTGTTTATTAATAATTGTGTTGATTACCCTTGCAAACAAATAAGTATATAATTCTCTCTGATTTTACAACTTTCACGTGTTTTTCTCTTTCTTCTCACCACTCAGGGTGGTTTAAGAGTTCAGTAGGTAACCTCTCAAACAAGTACCCGACCCCTGTCACACCTGCCGGCTATACCTTCAGCATCTGGGGTCTGATCTACCTCTGGAACTTCGCATGGATCATCTATGTCTTGACGACCTTATGTCGTACCAACAGCCGCGGACCGGTCTTCCTTAACCCTCCGGCTACCACCGTCATGTTCCTCAATAGCTTCATGTTAAACAACGTGGCCAATATGCTCTGGTTGGTCTTGTGGGATCGAGAGTACCTGACTAGATCAACCCTAGCCCTGTGTCTGATCGTACTGACCCTGTATGTAGGGTTGTATATCAGTCTCACCAGTGTCTACCAGTATCTCGCAGACTTCAAGGACTATGCAGAGTATGTTTGCTTTTTTTATCACTTCCCTTGAAAAAAACTGATCTGATCGATTCCTTAAAGTGACTCAGTAACATTGTTGAAGGTTGATGAAAAAACTGTGCAATTTCTGTATGAAATGCTATTTATTACACTCCTTCCACTGTACCAACCCTCCAACATGCAAACAATCCTGAAAAGACTCTCAAACCACAAAGACATCTATGGCTTTCCTTAAAGACGTCACTGTGCGACACCCTCCAAAAGTAATACATTTGTTTTGGGTCTTTTAAATTGATTTTAAAACCGTGGCAAATGTCACATGATTAACAAGGTCGTCACTAGTACTAGGGGGGGGGGGGGCAGTACTGGTACTGGTAGTGGAGGAGCTGGGGCCAGAGATTGGGTGCGGGTGTGACGCCACTCTCTAATTTAAATCTGAAAAGCCACTACTGTGGGTCTCGAATTATCATTTTGGGGAGATTAATAAGATTTATTTTAAAAACTCAATAGAAATTTGGCAAATTCTGTCGGCAAACTTGCTTTCAACATTCTTTTGTATGACGCCGTTCAAGGTAGCTAACGCCTTTAATGTTATGGGTGTATGCGTGGACACTGGACTCTAGCAATGTCGACTCATCTCGGTTTGAAAGAACTATAAATGACAGCTAATTAAAGCCTTAAGAATGTTCTCATATTCCTAAAAACGAGTTTTTGATATGAGCTATTTCTGTATCATGATGTTGTGCTTTGATAATGATTAACCATTTACTATGCATCAATTAAACATTTTTGTTTTGACAGATCCGATCTTTGGGCCTATCGAGTCTTGGTACATAACGGCCTAGCAATCTACGCTGCCTGGACTACGGCTGCCTCGCTCGTCAACCTCTCCGTCACACTCATATACGTAGCAAGACTACCGAGGTAATAAGGATTTATAATTGACAGACTAGTGAGAAAACTTATTTGGGCAATTTAAAGAATTTGTTCTATACGTTGTCGGCTACTTCAAAGATTGTATTAAAATATTATTCCTAATATCTGTCCGTGGTAAATCTAAAATGGATTATGAATCACACAAAATATAAAGAAAAGTCATAATTTGATCCTAATCATTGGTGTTGTTACATTTTTATTAATAAGGTTATGGGATATTAAAAAAGGGACCAAATTCCTTAAGAAAACAAATCAAACAACAACAGCAACGAGCAACTCAATAACAAGACTAGGATACAAACATGGAGCATATATATAATCTCAAAGGAATACAAGTATATGAAGTAAACACACTCAACAAAGCAATGATCGTGCAATTTTTTTAATCATCTGTTCAGCATGTTCAGAGCCAAAAAAAATCGTAAATTCTATGTTAAAGTATATGAATTAATGGCCTAGTTTCTGGCCCCAAACAGACGTTATCAGTAAACAAATTGGCCTTCTTTAAAAGGTCGTCACAAGGTCCACAACATTAACATTGATTTAATTTCCTTCTTCTTGAAACAGTGACGTCGCCACCTACGTCTGTCTAACTACACTAGCCGTCATCCTCATCGTCTACTTCGTCTTTGAGTTGTTTGTCTTCGATGTCTACACCCGTTACGTCTTCATGGTATACCCAACCTTCATCTGGGCCTTGGCTGGTATCATGGTTGCTAACGGTGATGATACTAACAGCCCCGTGTTTGTATACAGCGCCATCCTCGTCTCGATCAGTTTCATCTTCTTCATCGTGAAGACTGTTCTCATGATCATTCGCGATCCGGTCTACCTTTTCGTTAAGATGACCAAAGTCGATTCCACCACGTATAAACACATGATCTAAACAATGGAATGGTGACCATACGCTATATTAAACATATTATTCAAATCAAGAAAGAAGAACGATACAGAATTTCGAGACATGTATGGCAAATAAAAGCATAATTATCATAATAGGCCTGCGTGAGACTGCGATTAGTTTAGCAAAATAGATGTTATTATACATCTGAATTAGTGTTAATGTGAAATTATCAAGAAACGTGTATGAATATCTTAGTTTCTTTAGGTTCACAGTAATAACATTCAACTGATGACATCAGAAATTGCATTAAACCTTGGTTAAAGACATTTAAAGTGCTATTCCACTCATGTAATGTCTATTTTGGGGGGTAAGACTTAACAGGGAACAAGCTCGATTTGGTGAGGGAATTAATTATTTTCAAACTAAATTTAATTACCCGAATATTTGATAGGACATGACCTTATTGTTTCACAGGAAAAAAGGGAGAAAACGGGGAGGGGGAATGCATACTCAGTTTCCAATTGCCAAATAAAGTCACAGATCGACGGGCTCTAATTGTAGGCATGTAATTTATATTCAATGTAGCACGAAATTTGCCCTTTCTACTGACGGCATCAAAATTAAAACAACGCCCTCTGTGAAAAACAGTAACTTCGTTGACCGCGTTGATGGTAGTGTTCATGCCACAAGATATCAATGAAAGGACAAAACGAAAGAACTATGAACTTTTTAATCATACATGAATTTGACAGAGGAATAGGCTAATCGGTTTTGCCGAAGAAATTTATTTTGCATGAACGTCTTGCTAGGGTATCCAACCTAAAGGGGAGGGGGGGGGGCTGAAGGGATATTAACCCTACCCAAATCATTTGGAACTAACCGTGTATTTAAATCGTATGTGTAGCATTTTTAATATTTAATTTTGTTTAATGTGTTATTCCTCTTTTATACAAAATTGATCGGCACCCCTTCGACTTGCTAAACGTAAAACTATTATCAATATTATTATCATCAAATGCAAATATAAATCGAATCTGAAGTTTATACAAAAAAAGTTAAACTAAATTGTTGTACGATATGTTAATACCTTTACTTTCTTATCATTGGAAAGATTATGGAAGGTTAATTTCATTAAATTACCTTTACTTTACCTTCCCAATATTTCTCCTGTATTGTTCTTCAAATAAAGAACAACATTTTTTGGAGAATAATAAATCACAAGACACCTTTCGCAAACAGGTAAAGAAAGTGAGTAGTAGTTATTTTATAGGCCATTTCCATCATCGAAATGTTTCTATTTGTCATTATGACAATTTATTTCAAATTTCCTTTACAAATGTATGTGCGTATTCTTTTTTTAAATTCCTATATAGCTTAAATTTGTCTAAAATAAGAGTCATGATCATGATTTTATTTGTTACCTTGAGCAACCTTTATGAAATCAAGAAATATTGGCCAATCTGTGATCCTTCCTTTTACAGCGTGTAATTCTACAACATTCTCAAAATTATCATAACATTATCTTCATTATTGAGCTAATGAATTCAGATGGTTTTGATTTCCTGAATCTCCTTTTTCGTCATTTAATTTATACTATACCTTAGATGTAGGACCCACTTGCTTTACAATTGGTCGATGTGAAATAAATAATGTACAGTGATCGTATAAGCAACCAAAACCGCAATAAACACTTTCTAATGTGCAATGATCTTTATATTGTCGTGTTCAGTGTGTTTTATAAATCTTTTCCATCATTTTATATGAATGAATACGGGCGTAGAGAGAAAAAAACAGAATATGCTATTACTGTGAGAGCGGTTATGATCAAATCAATTCATGTTGCAATCGTTCAAATTCCAAAATCATGTCACTCCAAGTCTCCAACAGAGTCGTATTAATATCATGAACAGATTAGTAAAACAATTCTGATTGGGCGATCCATATTAAAAAAAGATACGTTCAATACAGGGGAAGGGGTTAGACACGTGGTGGTCGTTCATGTTCATCACAAACCCACAGTTTGAATTATCACAAGTTAGAATAATCGCATTTAGTCTTTTGAAAAATTAATGAGCTACATTTAGAAATGAACCTTAACAAAATATAATATTTTGTTCCCGCAACAATAGCTCCCCTCACATAAAATTTGATTTGATTTGATATTTTTTTATTTTCAATAATGCATCATGAAATCACTCATGAATTTGTAAAACATATGGTCACATAAAATCGTACATAAAAAAGGGGTCGTCATAAGCACAGCTAGAGCTGACGTCCTCATCATAAGTTGCATGTTTAATGTTCATAATATAAATGTACATAGTTATGTAAGCAATACATAGTGGGTAAGACAACAATAAATGCTACACAGCTTCATTGTGAAACAAAAATTAGATTTGCTACGTTCACTGGCATGTTGACGAGTCAATGCTTTTAAATATTAAAATCAAGTCATGTCAACCAGTGTAAGGCATCTATGGAAATGAGACTTTGACATTCATTATGTTACATCACACGTTTAATAGGTCATAGTCCCCAACGGAATGACACCACGGATATTGAATAAGCTTCACATAATAACATAAATATAATGATATAATACGGTTGTATAATGGCAAATTACCATTATATCATAATGATATCATATATTATCACTAGGACTCTTTTTATCGGTTATGAAAACCAACATCAGCAAACAATACTGACCTCCTTTTTTTTTCTTCAAGGTACTACAATGTCAACACAATAATGGGTCTTGCATAATGGTGATGTTATCATAAAGCAAAGAGAACTCTTTGTGATAATATTTGTTGAATTAATCTACAAAAAAGGACAACAAAATGACTCCAAATCAAAGTTTTTGGATAGAGTTGTTATTATGAATTATGTTACTAAAAATAAAAATTAATATTTAACATGCTAGAGCCTTTCCTATTTACTTGCTTTCTCGTTCTTCCAAAGTTTTTTTTTTTAGGTGTTGAAACCTATTCATTAACTTAGACAATCGGTTCAATGGTGTGGCTTGATGTTTATTTTACTCTGACAAAATTCATATCAACTAAAACAAAAACTGTGTTTATATAGAAGAGAAAATTCAAACGAAACTGTATTTATATACTGAGAGAGAAAATGTAATGCTTCTGTAAAATATCTGACGGTATGCCTTCACTTACCATCAAGCAAACTACATTTGCTTCCTAATTTGGTAAAGTAGGGCAGCATGAAATGGTTAAAGGTTCTCTATATAGTTCCCATAAGACGATTCGATTAACATTGTATGCTTCTTTCAAGTAATTTAAGGGTTATTTAGTTATGATAGTTCAATTATCAGGGAATTAGCAGACGCATCGAACATGCTACATGAAGCAGCCAATTTTCAATTCAAATTTATTATTATCGAACAAAGCTTGATGGATTGTATAATTCAAGAAGAAAAGAAACACTTAAAACAAACCATATGACGATGACCGACGTACTTGGAAGATTAGATAAGAAGCCTTATTGCATTATTTGTCTAAGCGCTGGTACCTCCCATTACATGGCAACTGTTATCGACCAATAAATCTGGTTTAGTACGCGAAACACATAATCTCTGCTGAAAATCAGGAATCCTTGTGCTGACCTGGTATAGTAATTTGTTGGTGGACAGTTTCTCGTCACATGCAGGCGAGACAGACTTGGAGAGCTGGTGAGTAATTTCTTGATGCATTGATTTTATAATCTGTTATGCTGTAATGTTTTAATTAATAACCAAAACTTTCTAAATGACGCTGTGAATAATATCAAACGATTCTTAAGATTAATTGATAACGCTTTTCGTCTATTCACGAGATTTTTTTACTGTACTTTTGATCCAGAGATTTTCATATTTTCGTTTCTCAACGAGATCATGCATTCGAGAGTACTCGTTAAACTTTCTTCTATGTAAATCGTTTCGACAGACTTTCTTTCTGTTCGTGTACCTGTAGGTTCTTGTTCTCTTTCTGCACCTTAATTTGCCTCTCTTTTGGTTGTTGGGTGTCCGGACACTTAACAAACATAAAGCCTTCTCTTTTGTCTCCAGATTTAACATAGATATTCGTCGAAATGATCAAATAGCACTGAACTCATAATTTGTGTCCTTTATAATATTGTCTAATATAGGTCTCAATTTTTTATGAAATATTGCATGTAATCTTATTCAAATTTTTGTTTTAAATCAATTCTTCGGATACTCAACCTTTCCGGATACACAACATCTGGGTATACCTACCTGTGTGTTTCTCTCTTCTATCTACCTCTACCTCTGGCAAGGGGCAATGAACAGAGAAGACTTTAGGGTCATTCAATCGGCTTCAATTGAGAAATGTTTAAGATAATCAACGCACTTGACATGCTTAATTACCTGAAAAACCTTAAAACTTGACTTCAGTCTAAAACATATAATTCAAATTCATTTTATATTCTCTATGTATCGTCATGCAAAGTTGATTATACATTAAATCATTTGATTTGAATTTGATTTGATTTATTTTCTTCTGCATTCCATATAGATGTAAACAATTTTCGGCAGCATTAGAAACATACAATACTAAAAGGTACTTCTGGCAATGAATCGTAAATAGCAGTACATAACAATAACTAGAGACCAAGAAAATAACCGACAATTTTTCAAAGTATCATTTATAATTTATCAATCAAAGAAGAAAGTTATGGAACTATGTCAACCGTTTTGACATAAACTTGAATTAGAGAAGCTCCTCTGTTTCAAGTTAACTTCGTAAATAACCGTTTAATGTACAATTGCCCTCGTGCCTTTATTCTTGTATAATCTGAAATTATCAACAAGGATAAATCCCTCCTTAGACTAAGTAAACAACACAATGCGTATTGACCAGTGATAGGAGATATATAGGTCGAAGGTAACGCCACCTTTTTTGCGATATGATTTAGTTTATAGAAACAATCGCCTGAATAAAATTTAAAAAACTTTGATAAAAGAAACAATGCTTCCTTGAATTGTTTAAAATAGTCATTTTAAAGTTCTAAATCATACATGTCATGAATAAATATTAATCAAAAGACAATGAAAAGAGGTGAATTTGTTGTTGATATTATATAATCTAAATGAAGTTGTCTAGTATATCAGTATTAAATGAAGCTTTATCAAGGTGACTGTCTTATTCAAAATAACGCCAATAAGCTGTATTAAATGACCTCTTTGCACATTTAGTCATCCATTCATTGTAATCCCCTTAATACACAGATCAAGATAACAATCCAAGTGCTAACTGGACATTAAAGGGGTGGGGCAATCTTGACATAGACGTCTACAGTGATGTTTTCAAAAACAGCATGTTTCACATTTCCAAATTAAAACGTGCAAATTATTGAAATAGTGGCGATATATGCAACATTTTATAAAGCGCGTAATATAACATTTGTAAAGCATAACTTTTTTTTCCTTTTCTTCTTCATTTAAAGGATTGATTTGTAGGTGATAAAACGACAAAAGAAACAGACATGGCGTCCGAGCACGACTATCTCTTTCTATTCATGGCGTTCTTCACGCTCGCCATGTTCATCTTAACACAAGTCCTGAGTGCACTAGCTACTGTACCTGGTAACATCGCTGGTAAGTAACCATGGTAACATAGATAATGTTCATCTAAACACAAGTCCTGAGTGCACTAGCTACTGTACCTGGTAACATCGCTGGTAAGTATTCATGGTAACATAGATAATATTAATCTAAACACAAGTCCTGAGCGCACTAGCTACTGTACCTGGTAACATCGCTGGTGAGTAACCATGGTAACATAGATAATGTTCATCTTAACACAAGTCCTGAGCGCACTAGCTACTGTACCTGGTAACATCGCTGGTAAGTAACCATGGTAACATAGATAATGTTCATCTAAACACAAGTCCTGAGTGCACTAGCTACTGTACCTGGTAACATCGCTGGTAAGTATTCATGGTAACATAGATAATATTAATCTAAACACAAGTCCTGAGCGCACTAGCTACTGTACCTGGTAACATCGCTGGTGAGTAACCATGGTAACATAGATAATGTTCATCTTAACACAAGTCCTGAGCGCACTAGCTACTGTACCTGGTAACATCGCTGGTAAGTAACCATGGTAACATAGATAATGTTCATCTTAACACAAGTCCTGAGTGTACTAGCTACTGTACATGGTAACATCGCTGGTAAGTAACCAAGATAACATAAATAATGTTCATCTTAACACAAGTCCTGAGTGTACTAGCTCTTACGGACATTTAGATTTGCGTGGACTTCTACGTGTGACATCATTTTAAGGCTGCCTGAAAAGGACGTCACACGTAGCAGTCCACGTTGTCGTTGTACAAATCTAAAAGTCCCTATTGTACATAGTTACCCAGCTGGTTAGTTACCATAGTAACAATATATTATCATTATGCTCATCCTGTTAATCATTAGTGGACTGGTTCCTTGAAAATTTACTTATGTGCAGCGAGGGTAACAGGGACTATGATCACGATTATGAACATTGTATTTAAGAATATCATCATTACAATCCTATGCAAGATTCAGTGGTTATTTTACCTGACTGCCAAGAAAGCATGAATGCTTGTTAAGCAACCAGAGGACCGACTGCTTTAGGTCTTCTCCAAGAGACCTGGTAATGAGGATTAATGCCTTACCAAAGGGCACTAGCGTATCGCCTTGCTTTCGAACCATGGTCGCCGGATTACGAGACCACTGCTCTACCAACTGAGCTATCGCGCCTCCTCGAATATCATCATTATACAGGATTCAGTCATAAGTACCTTGACCGAGAATAAAGTCAATTTAAAATTGGAAATGAGAAAGAGTTCTCAAGATCTGAAGTAGGTGTAGAGTATTTTACAGCAGGATAACCATTGAGAGTCAAGGAGGTTAAAATTATCCGGAGAGTGTGGTTTCCTTGGATTGAAAGTCTCCAAAATGTTCTCAGGAGCTGTAATTGCAGAGACATGAGAAAGATTATTGTCACTATTGATGCATCACATCTCTATTTGAAAGAAGAAAAAAATATTCATGATATTATATATTTCTTTTAGCTCCTCAATAAGAGTTTCTATTTATATGATTTACCACGTCTTCCAGGATGGTTTCCAAACACTACTGAAGAGATATCCGACACGTACCCGGTCCTGGTCACCCCAGCAGGTTGGACCTTCTTAGTCTGGGCAGTCATCTACATCTGGATGCTGATCTATATCATCTATATCCTCACCACCGTCTGCCGTAGGAACAAGAACGGACCAGTCTACATGAACCCGCCCGTTGTCACGGCCAACTTTCTCGCCGTGTTCTCGCTCAACCTCGCCTTCAACATCGTGTGGTTGTTCTTGTTCAGCAGGAGGGAGTTTGCGTGGTCGTTGGCCGATTCGTGTATGCTAGCGTTCACCGTGTATGTCTGCCTCTGGCTCAACCACAGGAACGTGGAGAAGTACCGTGACGTCATGGAAACTAATCACAAGTAAGATTCTATAAGTATCGCATGATATTGAGATCTGTGTGTCAACATGATTATGCATCGTTCGTAGATATGAAGTTGTTATGACACAAGTTATTATAATACATTCATTTTCTTACAGACTAGTAGCCCTAGTAGGCGATGTCACAGACAATTTTCCCGGTCCACCTTGAATTACCTAGATAATAGCTTTCTAGATAACTCACTTACGTAATGACAGACAGAATTTACCGCGAAAAATCCCTTGAAATTTCTTGATAAGGGAGAATTTTGTTGGTTCGTTGAAGGATTTTTGCGGGATAGTTGATGACAGACAGCGAATTCTCTAGATAGCTATATCATCTAAAGAACTATTTTCGAGATAATTGGCCTCTGTCTGACACTGCATTATAGGTGTCTCTATATTATTCTAAATTCATGGGTTAAGGGTATAGTAGTTATATAAGGTTTTAAATTCGCCGACAGAGAATCGAAACGAAAAGGGAGAAAGGTGATCACCTCTTTTTGATGGTGGTAGGGATTGGAGCTGAAACGCTCGAAAGTTATAAGTTTACCAACAAAAATATGAATACAGGAGTGGTGATGCCACACCCTTCTCAGACCTCTCCTCCCCATTTATGACAATTGACATTTATAATACATTAATCAACTTACCTCCTGTGTATGTTTAATTGTCAAAAGGCCGGAAATCAATCTTTGAATGAAAGCTAGACTTGCATTGTTGTTCAGTTTGCTTTCTTTTGACATCAATCTATTTTAATTTACAACCTTAGGGTAGATCTGTGGTGCAATCGAATCCTTATTCAGAACGGTCTAGCTGTCTACGCAACATGGACGAGCATCGCAACCCTGATCAATCTCTCTATCGCTCTCACTTACCTGGCCGATGTCAAAAACCTATCCTCTAGCCTCATCTCTCTCTCCATCCTCACAGCCGAGGTCGTCGTCTACTTCGTCGTCGATACGTTCTACTGGGACCGTTATCTTCGCTATACATTCACGGTCTACCCGACGATTATCTGGGCCCTCTCAGGGGTCCTTTCAGAGAATTGGGACCCAGACAGTTCGACGTCGATCTTCAACGCTGTTCTCCTAGCTTTGGGAGGGCTTTGCTTCGTTATTAAGTTTGTTCTAGTGGTCTTTGTTAGAGAGAGTTTAGATAATAAACCTGCTCTCCGGTCAAAAGCGAAAGGCAATGAATATATTTTCAATGAGGAGGATAGTGATGTACCGAGCATATCTATGACAAATAAGAAGATTTATGATGATGCTGTTAATTAAAGTAGAGGCCTGTAACCCGAATTGACATTTCCTTTAAAACAGTGGCGTAGGTACAGGGGGTAGGTGGGCACCTGCCCCCGACCCCCCCCCCCCCCCCTAAAAAAAAAAAAAAAAAAAAAAAAAAAAAAAAAAAAGGAAAAGGGGAAAACTAGAAGAGAAGAAGCCTGGACTATCTCCAGCATCCAATCCCTAATTAGTAGCATATAAAGTTTTATTTCTTTTTAATAGTAAAACCAGTTCCGAATCAGTGGGTGAACTCACATAATGCCACGGCTTTAAAGTAAAGGCTTAGCAAAGTATATTATTTTCTAAATAATGATAACCTTATAACCGTAAACATACGATCATTTCATGTTATTTCCATGCTGTTGAAATGTTTTGCTTAATACATTGCATTCTTTAATGTTTTTCTATAACAAATTTATGGAATATTATTGGAAAAAACTAAATACTGCTTTAAATTTGAATTCTAATGATCACCGCCTTTTCTGTGTTTTTTCTGGGCTGCAAAAGCAAACTTAAGCAGGGAGGGGGAGTGTGCATGTTCATGCTTGCCTTGGTATATATAGAATACACCCATTTGACCCATGTCTTCAAAACGATAGGTCTACTTAGTGCAAGAATGGAAAACTATTCAAACGTCATGCACAAACTATCAAGCGTTAGCTATTAATAATAAAGTTAATATCGTTTACTTCCCATTGAAATACAAACAAAATGCACAAGTTTCTGTAAATCGAAGTCATGTGTTGTAATGTACTTTCATATCTTATGATTGTGTCTGGATAAATTTAAATTTATACATTGTTTAAGATTGTAGTTTTGTTGTTATTTAACTTTAACATAATCATGGTGAAGCCAAGAATGATTTAAATCAAAATCAACGCAAAGTTTTCTGCCAATTTTTATTTTCGTTGACGTACCACTTCCAACTTTTTGTATGATATTTAAATGCTTGTTGTTATACACTCTACCACCTGAATTACAATATCGATAGACTTGTATTCAATTTTTGTTTTCTTGTATATAGGCATATTTTCAGTGAGTCATTATCTCATATTCAGTATGATGTATAACATGCTCAGAGTGACAGCAACAATAAACCAAATCAAATTAACACTGATTTTATCATCGTATATTCTAAAGTAATCGAAGTGATGTATAATGCCCTACCAGAAGAACAGAAGGAAGTGTACTATTGAAAGAATATTAAAATGTTTCTTAAAGCCCGTCTGCACTTGTGGCCAGGGGTTAGACCTCCCTGCAAGGTCACTGACAGGTGGTTATCTCATCAAATCAGCTTTCAATTAACATTTTAAAAAAGGGGATCATGGACATGGGGGACCAAAAGGCACCCGTTATAGGCATTCGCCATAACGAGGGCGCAAGTAGCTATAGGTGGTGCAGTGGGGCTTTAACAAAAAGACATAAATGAAGATATTCTAAACAAGTTGTATTCTCATTACATTTCGAATGATTTTATGATCTTTATGAAGAGGCGATCATCTCAGCTAAAGAAGGTTGTTATGAGTATTTGAACCTTGTGAACTGTTATCATCTCTGTGGCATGCACTTCCGATCCGGTCATAATTAATTGGGGCAGGGCGTATTGGTGGCCATTTCGAACGCCATCTTAGCTATCTAGTTCTTCATTAAACATTCTATCTGTCCCTCTTACTCATCTTCTAAACATACAACGTCATTTTCTTCTCAGTAATTTCAGTCTCTGATACAATGTATAATACCCCCTATCTCTCTCTCTCTCTCTCTCTCTCTCTCTCTCTCTCTCTCTATGTCCCTCCGGCTAGGATGAGTTTCTGGGGTGGGTGTGAAAGGGATCGGGGTATTGTGTACTAAAGCTATGTTGAAAATCTTGGGGCCTTTTTACTATGTATATTTGTGCATTGTGTCGATGTCATGTTATGTTTTTCAAATTTCTAACCGATTTTGAATATAATTATTTCCTATTTCAATGTCATGCTTTTGATATCTTTTTATACATGATTTTAATGTAAACGCAATATGTAAAATCCCACGATGAATTTCCGTGTTATTACTGGACGAAATAAAATTGAATTGAATTGAATTGAATCTCCCTCTAATACTACAGGTACATGATTAGTTTGTTTGTTTTTTGTCGTTAACTGATCATCAACTTTTTCATCACTCGCTTCCCTTCCCTTCCACCCTACTCTACATGTATTGGTATCTATGACGTCATTATATTTAATATCCTTGTCACGTGACTATAGCTACCTGTTAATTGCTGCTGATGATATCAGAGTCCAAATTCCACCCATCCACTACGAAGATCAACGAGCTATAAATGAAACAGTTACACACATAAACAATTTCAAGGTTAGGAGGTATTCTTGATATATATTCTGAAGAGAAACCTTATTTCAACACATACTTTACGGACTAGTGTCTATTGCAAGGATGACTTGTTTTAAAAATCGATGGCATTATGTCGTCTATTACTTTGTAAGCTTTGGATTTATAGCTTTCAGCTTCCTCTTCGCTCTACTATGCATTTTCTTTCACTATCCAGAAGTTGCTTCGAGTAAAGGCGATCAAATCATGTTGGAGAAACAAAAACCTTACATATTATTCAAGCAACGACCTGATAATCTACCTCACTTTTGCCGAGGATTCAGGGTCATTCCTCAACTGAATGGTCGTCAAGATGGTATGATTGTTCGAGTAACGACATCGCGTGAACGCCCAGTATACTCCAATAATGCTTCTACATATTCTTTCACAGAAGATATATATCTCGAAGGACCAAAAACTGGAAACCTCTCATATTATCTCCCAAGCTCATCGCGTTTTGACATCACAAGCCGCGGACAAGAATTTTATACTGAGGATACTACTTTGACTATTCCTATCTTCAATAGTTACGGGAAGATGAAGAAATGGTTGAATTCGAAGGAACAAGACCCAGAATCGCCTGACGTCATTCTCTATGCCCAGTTTCCTCCATGTCCGTCAATGACCACAGTCTCGTTCAATACAAGTGGATTCTCGGATGGAACATGGTATTTCTTATTGGGAATTGGACGCAAAAGTGATGAAGATGATTTCAGTGCTATCCTAGACATTCAATTTACCAAACATTTGTTGGAAATGACAAACCCGATAGATAATTGCACGGCCGATGCTGATGCCTACTGTGAACTCGATGCACCATCAGGAAATGATGTGTATCTCTTGTTGGAACATTCTCTGAACTCCACCTACCCATATGCGTCTTGGATACGTGTGTTTTGCTATAGATATGATTCATATCTTAGTGTTATGTATTTCCTTGTTCTGCCTCTTGGGATGTCGGTGTGTTCTTTCTTATTCTACTATATTCTAGTGTATTTAGGATATTGCCCGGGAGCTATGCTAGATGAATCGAGCGAACGCGAACCCGACCTACTAGGTGTGAGGTATTTTGATGCCGATACCGGGAGGACGACACATCTCTATAATTCCAATGGTGATGTACATTCAAGTCTACCGGATATCTCACCTCCTGACTATGGACGAGCCGTGCACTATCCCAATGGTTCCTCGACGGAGATATACCAAGATGATACTTCTCTGGCATATTTGAGTACGTTGTATGATTTGGATGGATCTTCGGACATTATCATGGTAACCGATGCGGACAACCCACCTGCCTATGATTCGTTATCTCCATCTGATGATCGGTCAAGGCAAGGCGGGAACAGCGGCGTCGAGCCACCTCCTGGTTATGAGACAGTCGCTGAGGTAAGCACGTCGGGCGTCATGAGGGGAGCTGAGAACCCACCACCGTATGACACTGCAACCCACCCTCTCGATCGACTAGCCGACGTAGACTAGGAGGAAATGGGTGACTGATATTAATTTTCACCTGCTTCCCCAGCCAATACCTGGTCGTGAAGTAACTCTCAAGCTAAACGCAAAGGATGCATGTAACCAAGGGGATTTATCCAGATCTAAACGAGTCACCTGCGTTTTTTCTCGCTAACCTGACTGTCTTAACCTCGTGACCGGCCAAAATAAGCCAGACGAGAGATCTAGAGGGACTTCCTCCAGCCATCCCCTGGTTAATGTGAAGCAGCTCTTGAAGTAAACTCGATGGATCTACGTAATAGGCTATAATGTCTGTTAGCCTATTCTGATGATGGCCAGTCAAGACAAGCACGGTGATCGGTGTGATCCCTAACTTAACACTTCCAACCCCCTGGTTATGAAGCAGCTCTTAATCGGGCTGCACTCGATGGATATAACCATGGTATAACGGACAACCCACCTTCAATCACGAAGCTATCTTGTCCCCATCTTGATTCTCATGGCTATGGTCGTCACCAGCCGAGTTAGGCCAGGGAGAGATCGAGGCAATATCTGCCATCTGTAACTTATGATAAGTATTCTTGTATCAAGTGGTCCGCTGCTCGAGTCCCATGTAGCACTAATGTCCTTTGGCAAGGCATTCATTTTCATTTGTCACTCGACACCCAGGTGCCAATGAATACCTGGTAGGAAGTAATTATTGGATGCTTTGATCGCCTTATAGGGTAACCAGGATAAAGCCAGGGAAATAGATGCTCTTTGTATAATTATTAGTATGCGCCTTTAGCATCTTAACTTTGTACCCAATATTATTTTGTGTATTTTTTAACTTATATCGTTAAAATGTTATGATGAACGCCCTTTTAAACAAAGAAGAGTTCAATTTATTACCGTTTATTTTTCTTAGAGTAATAAAGTATCTAGTTAGAAACAAAAATTACAAAAGATATTGTCTTTGAATAATGAAAGATTCCCTGTTATTATGGGCGATGGGTCTATCTCGCATCTATCGAGGAAAATCCAGGAAAAAGTAGACATTAAGTGAAGTTTGTCTTTAAAAAAAATCTTGATGTTTAAATTATTTATCATGTTTATGGCCAGTCTTGCCTTCTTGTATTTACAATAAACCTGATAAAAGAGCCAATGTATGTTTAGTATATATAGCGCCAACCAAACATCGTTCATTTTTCTGTAAACTGAGTATGATTTAAGCATGATAATATGTTTTGGGAAAGATTATGTAAACCATTCATAATTATGTGCTTTCGTTTCTGCTCAAATCGTTGAGTGTTACCTAGTGAAGTTTTATTTTTATCCCATTGAATTGCTAATCAAAATCAAATGGAATTTAATTGATTTTCATATTACCTTTTTTTTATTTAAATTTTTTACTGTAAACATAGTCACATAATATGTTGCTCTTTTTATGAAATTGTCTACCAACGCAATACAAGACAGTACATCAGTAAGGAACTGGGTTTTATATACATAAGGTATACCTCTGGAGTTTGGAACGAACAGTTTAGATTATTTCGAATATACCGAGGATGGATGATTATATTGATTTGTTTTATTAATCTGATAAAATCGTAATTGTGACAAGGATGCTTGTCATTTGATAAATTACCATCATCCAAACATCCCTAGAGCTAGAGCCGAATTATCGGCAAAGTTGACTAAACAAGAAAATGCCAATGACCAGTATTTATAACAGTGTATAATAAATGTCGTTTTTATATTGCAATGTAATTAATTATATTATTTTCTAACGACCAGTAAAAGCGATAAAGAAGGAAAGAATAACAGGGCGAGAAATGTGGAGAGATCAGGCAGAGAACTGAAGTGGGATAGGAAGAAGTTATAAAGAGGATAATTGAAAGATAATATAAACACATTCGTTCCGTATTCAATCAGTTCATGTAACTAAATATCACGCATTTGCCATATAATTCAGTATTTACATTTTAATTTATCAGATTTATTCCGATTTAGTCCAATTCAGTTTAAAAGCTTAGTTTTCTATGTGTATGGTGGTAACTAATTCTTATTCATAAATATGCACGAAGACAGTTAAATTACGTAACCCAAGGAAACAAAAATCAATATTTTAGACGACTATTATTTTGTCAGCACCAATTATTGTTTTGTACTATATTTATGTTCTTTGTACACTTTGCCTGAGTCTTTTATTTTACATTTGAGCGAAAAAATTTCCATGTTGAATTTACATCGGACAAATAAATACAATGCACATTGAACGAATATTATATAGAGAGAGAGAGAGAAAGAGAGAGAAAGAAAGAGAGAAAGAAAGATAGAGAGAGAGAAAAACAGAGAGAGAGAAAGCGAGAGAGAGAGAAAGAGAGAGAGAGAGAAAGAGAGAAAGAAAGAAAGAGAGAGAGAAAAACAGAGAGAGAGAAAGCTAGAGAAAGAGAGAGAGAGAAAGAGAGAGAGAGAGAGAGAGAGAGAGATGGAGAGATAGAAGAGAGGTGGGGAGGGGGGTTTCATACATTGTATCAGAGAAGAATTACTGAGAAGAAAATGGAGTTATATGTTTACAAGATGAGTAAGAGGGAGAACTAGATATGTATAAGATGGCGTTCGAAATGCCGCCTATACCCCATGCCCGCCCCAATAATTGACCGGAGCATGCTACCGAGATGATAACAGTTTTAAAGGTTTATACATTCATAACAAAATTGTTTAGCTGAGGTGACCGCCTCTTCATAAAGATCATAAAGTCATTCAAAATGTAATGATAATACAACTTGTTTGGAATATCTTCATTTATACCTTTTTTAAAGAAACATTTTAATATTCTTTCAATACACTTTCTTCTGTTCTTCTGGTAGGGCATTATACATCACTTCGATTACTTTAGAATATACGATGATACAATCAGTGTTAATTTGATTTGGTTTATTGCTGCTTATCACTCTGAGCATATTCTACATGATAATGAATATGAGATAATGACTTACTGAAAATATGCCTATATACAGGAAAACAAAAATTAAAAACAAGTCTATCGATATTATAATTCAGGTGATAGAGTGTATTATCCCGTTAGCACTCATTGTTGCAGTATAATTCCATACTCACAGCGCTATGGAACCAAGACACTTTTTATATGCACGTTATCGTTTGAATAGGAATATATCGAGGGGTCAGTGACACAAAGACGCAACTCCATTTAGAGAAAAAGTGGTTTATGTGTCACTGAGCACTTGGGCATTAAGGAGTTAAGTTTATGTTTCA